GGTTGGAAAAATTAGGCTTGGGATGGCTTGAAAGGTCATCAGATGCGATACCACTCCTTTTAAAAAAAAAATCTTCTAAATAATGGTATAAAAATTCTAGCCATCCCTCTTCATTTCATTCTGTCCAAAAAAAAAATTCCCATACACTATACCTTAGGTAGGGAAAAATAATAGAATAAAAAAATTTAAAAACAATAAATTAAAAACATTGTATGAGAGACTAGTTTGATAAAAATTAAACTGATTTGAGGGTTAATTTGTTCTTATTTAACTACATGTACATGTTAAGTCATTAGCATACTTTGCATATTAAATTAACTTGAGACTCAATTTTTTTAAAAAATCTTAAAGAATTAATATGATAATTTAAGAAAATATAATGGATCAAATTCATAAAAATTAAACTTGAGAGGTGAAATCGAAATCTGAATCAAACTTTTAGGACTAAAAGTTTGATTGTCCCAGAATATTCTTTATCTAATTTAGAGAAATGTTCCACGGGGAAGTTAGATAGAATGAAGCAAGTAAATTTCATTATTTCTAACATCAGCGAGATACTATGTTTGAATCCATTATTATCGCATAAGCAACTGCTAACAAATTAATAAACTAAATTTCGTAGATTGATACTTGCATTCACTCTTCAAACATAATTTTTAAATAAATAATTAAAATTCACATTCCTCATACATCCAGATAAACACTTTTTTTTTTATTTTGTTGACAAATACAAACAAATTTTTAAGATAGCACAAATATATAGGCAAATTTATTCTCAAAAATATTCTTTTCAGCTATTTGAATCTTCAAATCTTGATTATTGACCCAATTAATTGGAATCATTTACTCACTAAAAACTATTTTATTTACTAATTATCTAAATAATAAAAAATTTATTATTGTATTATTGAATAAACCCTTTAATTTTATTAACATTTTTCTTTAGTTAGGTTTTTTTTACAAACAGTAAATTAAAGTTTTGGTCCCCACAATACAATTAAATGCTTTAAGGTCTATTGCAAAATGATAGCTAAAGTTATTTTTTATTAATTGTTAATAAACCTTATATTATCTAATTATGATGTAATGAGATTTTGGCGTAATTATCCTTTTTCTTTTGTTAGAATGTAGGCCTTTCTTTGTGCTTTAGTTTTACTATATAGAAAATGTAGTCAAGATGAAATTAAGTTGCTTTATATTTGCATATGGTACAATTTAATGATGTCCTGCCAAAAAGTAACTCTTTCCTTTTTCTTAGATGCATTTGAATTCATTTTTTTATATTTTATTAATGATTATATCCAGACAAAATTTTTATTACTTTATGAATGATTGCCTTAATTTCCGGTACAGCAACGTTCTAACAATCCTTAACAAAAAAATCCAGACATAATTCTAACAAACACCAATTTCAACTAAATATTAATTTTCAAATAAGTCATATGAGTCATCATTCTTATTAAAATAAATAAATATAATAATAATAATTAATAACTGTTGTCCAATATAAACACCAAGCAAGTGTAGCATCCTTTTAGAATTTGATTCCTAGAGGTGGGTATGGTGAGCATCTTTTGGGAGACGATAACTCCTTAAATGGCATTCAAATTCTTTGAAGGATTAGTCTCATGATTGCTGATCGTGGAGATATCTTGAGAAACAAAAAAAAAAATATACAAAAGAAATTTACTGATATTTTTAAGTAATTAACTTTTTATAATATTCTGAGACAATAATTAACAATTAGTTGAGCAGAGTAATGACCAATAAAATAATAAATAAAAATTTTCTTCGGTTATATATAATGTTTAATCAATTAGCAAACAATAATGGAAATTAAAATGTTCTTTGATTTCTTCAGAGGTTAAATAATTTATATACAAAAGTAATTTGGTCAAGATATAATTGAAAGCCAACATGTTTTTCCCCAAAATTTTATGCTATACCCACAAACCATCAAGCCCCTTTCCCCATCATCTATCTTGGTCATTCTTCAATTCTTCCAAGAAAGGGGGGAGGGAGAATTTGACAGCATTTTCTTGTATGATTAAAAAAATGATATGATAATGTTTGATCCATGGATCCTACTAATCACACTTGTTTAAAGTCTCAACTTAATTCCTTGAAGATTGGTCATTTGGCAAGGATTTGGCTTATAAATTTAAGGGATCAAATTCCACTGCTGAAGTGAGGATCTTGTTGGTAAGTAATTTGCATGCACCTCTGTAAGCACCTTTTAAGCCTAAAGGTATACCTGGCCCTAATGAGCCCCAAGTCTCAACTCATCTAAACTTTCATTCATAAAAAAATAATACAGGGCGAGAATAAAGTTTTTGAAATTAAAAAATACAAAAAAGAAAAAGTTGAAAAGAGATCCAGGAAAAGCAACAACGTGCCCCCACAGATTAAGTTTTGATCCCAAATTAATTAATTAAAGATGTTAAATCAAGAAGCAACTAATAATGCATAGGAGTTAGGATGCTTCGCGGAAGGCTCATAATGCAATTCAATTGTTCTCGTTTTTTTCCCCCCAAGAAAAGAAAAATTCATCAACCCACCAAATTAAGTTACAGTATATGAACAATGAACCAAAAAAAAGTAAGTTTAGGGATTAGGGTTTTGAAAACCAAATCCAAACAGGCACAAACCCTTTAACAAATTCTTAAGTGCTCCAATAATGCTAGCTAAGTAACAAGATTCAGAAGGACATTAATTTGTATCCCACCTTCTCTACTTTTTAAAAAGCAATATTGAAAATTAATTGACTAGATCATATGTTTGAAAATTTGGTTAAAGGACATTTGTGTGCTTTAAACTATTTCTAATGACTTTTATAGTCATCTAATGACTAAAGTTAACTTTTGTTAGTAAGGACAACATTACTTTATTTTTAAAGTACTTACGTGAGAATTTTGTTAGTGAGCGATCTATAAACCCCTAGAACCAATTCTGAATTAGTTTTGAATAAACAAAAGATAATGTCATAATGGTCTTTTTTCTTTTCTATGCGGACACATAATGTCAAGGTCTGAGTCAACCCATATGCATCGAGAAAATGATACGTTAATAGAAGTAGTGGAATAAAATAATTTTTATATATTTAAGTCTTCTTATTTTGAAAATTAAGGTTGAGCTAACAAAACGGCAAAATCATAGAGGTCTGGGCTTTTTTAGTCGGTGTCCGCATCGTTTATTGAGTCAAACCTACTTAAGTACTCATATCTTGGAGAAAATGACACAATAATGAGGTTTTGTTTTTGGTCCTACGGTGGATCCTATGTTGGAAATTGAATAGTCTGTGTATATGAATTTTGTTGAGTAAAAATATTTAAAATGTGATTTTATAAATGGAGTAAAGTAAGTTATGTAAAAAATAACCATCATTAAAATAATAACAATAATAATAATAATAATAAATTTTCCAATTCCCATGCATATGTTAAAGTCATTTCTATTCTTATCGTCTCAGCTATCCTAATATAAAATATATATTTTTTATCTATGCGTGTGTAGAGAAAATGGCACAATAATAGAATCAGATGAATAAAAATGATATATATATATATATATATTAAAGTCATTTCACTTTGAAATTTAAACATTAAGTTCGCGTAAAGAAAACGACATATAATAATAGAAATCTTTCTATTCTCAACCCATTATTGAAGCCAACATGGAAAAGAAATCATTAATGGTGACAAACTATCTTTTTAGTCGGTATCCACATTTTTCTTTGGTCAAGCCTACTCTAGTACCATATCTTGGAAAAAAATGACACAATAATATACTTTAATAAATTTCGCGTATGTTTGTATTTGTGCGTATTGTATGGAAAAAAAAATTAAATCTTTAATAAACTCTATACTTTTAGCGAGATTTAAATGAGATCCGTGTTTATAGTTCAAACTGTTAGAATGACAACCTAAAGTTTGTACTGTCATCATTAATCCCTACCCAATCACTATATAAAAAACTATGAAAATAACTAAATTAGTTTGTTTTCGTTAGTGATATTCAGATTAACATATAGTTTTTGACATTAATAATTTATTTTTCTTTGACAAAAAAAAAACTGAGACCCAAAATTTAGATCTTGTTTGATTTTGTTCCCTTTTTTTTGTTTTTAAAAACTATCTTGTAAATTAAATTTTAAAAATTATTTTTGAAACCAAAAATTATGTAAATTAGAAAATAATTTGAGTTAAAAAATCGGAAGATAATGGTGGTCACCAATGGGTAATGATAGTAGTTAACTATAGCTGATAGTAGCATTCAGTAATGAATTATGATGTGCTGTAAACATAAAAAAGAAAACAAAAATAATTCTAAGATCTTTCATTAAATAAAAAAACAAAAGATGAGAACAGTTTTGCAAACATTTAAATCTAAAACACTTATCCAAACAAATTGTTTTTATATTTTTATTTTAAAAGCAGTTTTTAAAGATAGAAATCAAACAAGCCATAATTTTTTTTTTTATAAATTTATTTGAAGTAGGGAGAGAACAAATCGAAGTGCTCAAGAGTTAAGTCCAAAGGAAAAAGTAGTTGACGCAATCCAAATGGTTCATATATTTTTTTCTTCTTAAATTTTCCAATTATTTAAACAATTTCTTCTTCTTATATATCTATATATATTATATAAGATATTAAAATAACATTTTCCTTCGATTAATATCTCCCTATCAAATTCATTTTTTATTTCCAATAACAAATTGAAGAATATGCCAATAATGTCTCTTCATTTTCTAACTTCTTTGCAGGCCCCACCACCTTAGATTAATTGTAACTAGTAGCCACTGATTGACACAAAAGTAGACAAGGGATATTAATTGAGCCGAGAAATTTCTACCATTAACATCATAATCAACAGTTTTAGCTTAAATGCATATAATTAATCGTCCGTCCTATTTAAAAGTTGTGCTTGTGAATTCCTAAGCGTGTATATATATAGTACAACCTTCTTCTCCAACCACTTCATCAATCTAAGAAACCCTCAACGTATCCAACATGGCAAATCTTTGTTGTCATTTCTCCTTTCTCTTGTTTTCCCTACTTTGTTTTCATTTCACTTTATGCTTCACCAATTTCACTGCGTATGATGAATTGGCACTACTTGCTTTGAAGTTTTCTGTTAAGGACCCTTACAATTACTTGGCTAATTGGTCCAACTCTTCTTCCATTTGCAATTGGGTTGGGGTTATGTGTGATGGTCACCATGAGAAAGTAATAGCTTTGAATCTTGGTGAGATGGGTCTCAAGGGAACTTTGCCCTCAAAAATTGGGAATTTGTCTTTCTTGGTTGAACTTGACCTTCATGGTAACAACCTTTATGGTGAGTTGCCAAAAGAGTTGATCCAATTACATAAGCTAGAAATTCTCAACTTGAGCTACAATGAATTCAAGGGAGAAATTCCAACTTGGATTGGAAGCTTATTCATGCAGCTTTCAGGAAGATTACCTCCAACCATTTCCAACTTATCCTCACTTGAGTTGTTGTCTTTGTCTCGCAACTTCTTAACAGGTATGTCTTGCGTAATGTGTTATTAGCATTTCTTGTATTTTACAATGAATTAAATTTATTTTTCTATTTGGAAATCCTTTTGCTTAATTTTAATGTGGATTTATGTGAGCCTTATTATCAAGCTCAGTTGATCTTCTTTAATTTGTTGTAAAATGTTCACTTATATTTGTTAGAATAAATTCATCAACAAACTTTTGTTAATTATCATTTTACATAACCCTCCTGGCTTTACGAGTATTCAAATTATCAAAGTTAGCACATTTTTCGCATTTCATTGAATCAGCTTTGGATCAGTATATACTTCCTACATATTAAAATTAACTTCACCTAAGCAAAATAATACGTTTGATAATTATTTTACCATTAACTTTTTATGATATATTGGTGGTAATAAAATATTCTTATTTCAGAAAGATAAATTGATCAAATGTTCTTTGAAATCCTCTTGTGGTTAGATAGAAAATTTTATATTTTTAAGTTATATATTTTTCAGAATTCTTTTTGCAGTTACGTTATAAATTATTACTTTTATAATACAACCTACTTTTTATAACATTACAAATTTGTGTCAGAAATTTGCATGTGCTTGTTATAGGACATGTCTTAAGCATTCTTTTGTTTGTTTCCAAATCCCATTTTATGAAGAAAATCATAAGAAATTACTATCGAGAATGATGAATCTGATTGTGAAAAAGTTATTAAAAATTTTAGATCATCATGATGGAGGAAAAATCTTCAAATGATTTCCGTGACTTTTTCCGGGTGATATATGCTGCATCCGTATTTATAATTGTGTACTCAATAAGTATGATTATAAATTTGTGTATTCGTGTTAAAAAAAATATATATCTGAAACAACTCAAATTGTCAATTCGACTGTCAATATCTCATTATTTTTAATGTTATAAAAATCATTTATTTTCTCTTGTTTTTTTTATTAATAGAATGTCAATTTTTTTTTTTTGAACTAATTTGAGCTTCCATAGTCTGATTTCTTCTGTACAGCATGTAGCCATAATATATTTTAAGGTTCCTATGCTCTTAAAAATAATGATATTGGGCACCAGTTGTTTAATTATATGCATATGACTAACTATTCAATTCTATCTAATTTCTGACCAAGCGCTTTTTTTTTTTTTTTTTTTTTAATGCCATGTGGGAGGTGCCGTTTGAGTTATGTTGGGTGTTTCCCTTAGGCGCACTGTTCTTTCTTTCTTTTATTTATTTATTTACTAAGCATGATTTTCTTTTTTAGTATGGGGAGGAAGTTATATTTTTTTTTCATAACATTAAATTATAAAATAACATTAATCTTTTCATTTGTTTTTATGCTCTTCTAACATTTCAATAAATAATTACAGTTTAGACATTGAATAACACGTAGTTGATACTTTACTAATAAAATAAGACATTAACTACTATAAGTTCCTCCGTACATGTAATTAGTTTGGTCAGATGCAAATAAATTTACACAAAAGGCCTAAAGATGCTGGTCCACAACAAAAGTAACAAGGCATCTTCAGGAACAACTAATGTTGTATTCCGAGAGATATTTGAGAATATTGAAATAGATTATGGTTATTTTTTGTTTCATACCTTATACAAAATTAATTTATGATTATGCCATTCTCATTTTCATTTATTCAATTGGTTGCAAATAAATGCAATCCAACTAAATACCGCACTTAGTGAAAAAATAATAATAACACATGAACGTTATTAATTTCATATGCATAGTATGTAACAACAATGCTCTATGGCATAGTTTATCATACAAGAAAGTAACTTTGAAGAGATGCATAAAGTAATGATGCACGAGCAGGACACAAGTTCAAATAATGAAATAATATGGTCTCACTATTTCTCTCAATTTGGGTGCTGAAAGTGTTTTGACTAATTTAATTCGTGTCAATAATTAATCTACTATAGCCTCATTTAATCATAGTATATATGATGAAAAACATCTTCCTTTTTTAATATATTTGGCCCTATTATATTGCAAAGACTTGGGACAAAACTCTTCGCGTATGAGGATTCGATTGGTCACTCTAAACACAGTTCAAATTAATGGATACATATCAAGATACATCAATTTCCTATTTTCTTCTTTTTCCTGTTGGGTTCAAGAGCTTTGTCTTCTTTATTGCTTATTTTTATTTTATTATGATATTTTTACTATATATGGACTCTAACAAAAAAATGAGTCTATTTTAGCAGACATTGCAGGATTAATTTATTGCAAAAGACAACAGTCAATTTTGAAACTAATAAAAGTATCATAGTTCTGTCAAAAAATGTTTACTACCATTTAAGATCAACTATTTTTTGAATTTTCAAAGTTGGTCTCTTTATGCTCATACTTTACGGTCTAATAGCATATCTTACAATTTTTTCAATGACCACATCCTAGTAGATATTCTCAATATAATTAGTAATTTGGCAAATCTGAACATAATATTAAGTGATAATCAGCTTTGCAATTGCACACCAAAAGCGATTGAAAATTTGATTATGCTTCAAGGGTTCGCACTTCAAGGCAGTGACTAATTATTAATTTTGTTGATATCTCTAAACATTATTATTTGATTGTATGATATAATTAGGATAATTAAATATATTTATTTAAGATAGATAAATTAATCAAATTTTATTTCTGTGTTATATTTCTTTGAGCTTTGTTATACCTTATTATGTCATGAGCTGTTATATAAATGATAAATATTTCACATCATGACATTAAAAAGCTTATTCTAAATATGCATGAGAGAGAGAGAGAGAGAGAGAGAGTTTTTAGTTTTATATAAAGTAAGAAAATTTATTTCATTTTGAAAGCTTCTTATTTTTTTAGGAATTATAAAAGTTGTTATTAGTTAATGTTTTTATTATTTACCTTTTTCTCAAAACTTAATTGTTTTTACAAAGACCTCAAAGCAATTCTAATGAAAAATTAATTAGTTGACCCATATAGTTCCATCCAGTTTGTGACTTATTTTTTATAATTTAAATCGTCTTGACTCAGCTCTTATACTTTATTTTGTCTTCTCCATTCATCCCTACTTTTCAAAAAGTAACGAAGTCCTCAGTAACTCATCCTATGTGGCACCTATGGTTTGCATTCTTTATTCGAAAGACTTAATCCGATCAATAGCAAGAGTGCTGTGGGAGTGATGATTTTTCTCCCTTCTTTCTTTCCTTGGGCCAACAATTTGTTATGCTAAAGGAAATCCCCCTAGTCTCACCGAAGGAAGAGGCAGTTAACAGTGTTGCATTGCCTAGTTGACAGTCTTATTATTAGTGCCACATTAGATAAAATAAAATGAGAATGATATTCTATTAAAAAATGTAAACTAAATAAATATTGCTAGCCAAAGACAAAACACGAAAGGCAACTTAGAGACCGGAACCTATTTGTTTCCTATAATTATTTTGGTCATTTTCTGTAGTTATCTATGACTTTTTTTTTTATAATTTTTAGGTCATTTTGTATAATGTTTTTAGTCAATTAATGATTAAATTAACAAATATTTAATGGGGTGATGACGTTGCTTCACTTTTAAAGTATGGAGGCAACGTTGAGCCCCCTTGATTTGAGGGTGTCCAATCAGTACCTAAAATAATTGAGGGCAAATTAGCACTTTAACTCTTGAAAAAAAAAAACAACACAGCACATTGATTAGCACTAAAAACTTGTCAACAACAACTTTTCTCTGTCTCTCTCTTTGCTTCCTTTGTTTGGGATGTCGGATTTTTTTTTTTTTATTGAAGGGACGCCAGTTTAAATAATGAACAATATATAATATATGGCTTTGCATATAATTAATTTTGTGCACATACAATATATAATTTCCAATAGCATATTATTGTACATTTTTTATTAAACTACATCACTCCTATTGATATCTAGGCCAAAGTCAACCAGTCAAATTGAAAACTAGCTCTTAGTCCAGACCGATAAATCTCCATACCCCAGACACAAATAAAGTATAAAGTCACCAAAAGTAGTCAAAGACTAGTAAATCAGTAAACAACCAGTAAAATTAGTAAAATCCTGACCGGTTCCCAATAAAAAAAAAAAACAGATAAAAATAAAAAATGCATGTTAACTTTTTTTTTTTAAAAGGCGTAACTGTAAATTTTTTGAAACTTGGGGCCAAGAGCTGCGATTTTCTTAAAACCTTCTCAACCCCACATGTGAACCCAGCTTCTTGATTGACTAACCGCCTAGTACTTTCAGACGATCAATGTAGGAATTTCACCAATCACTTTTTCTATTATTACCCCTGTCCAGAGGCATCTGAGATTCACTTCTTTTTTTTCTCTTCGATCTTCACTAATTTTTTTGGCTACATTCATAGAATCTATTAAATCTAGGTAATATTAAGTGTTTATTTATATTTTTCCTCAGGTTCAATCTTTGAAGTTTAGTTTTTATATAATTTGTAAAACTACTTCATGCATTGTCATTTTATATATATATATATATATATAATAAGTATGGACTCATAAATATTACACATATTTGTACTAACTGTGGTGTATTATAAGATTATGTACTAAACTAAATAGAGGGGAACTTATTACTCATTATTTTCTTTTTAATTTATTTATTTTTATCCCTTTATAAATTCACAGTTTTTCATTTTAATGGCAACCAGTCTAACCACGATTCAATCAATAAACTGTAAATCAGTACCTCAATCAAGTTAATGACTGGTCTAGTTTTTAAAACTTTGCTCTCCTATGACATGGCATAATGAAATATATACAACAACAATAATAATAACCTACAAGTCTTATATCATTAGGAGGGGTTGCCATTGTACAACTTAACAGTGTTATTTTTAAAAGACAAATTAATAAAATATCCTTCAAATATTTTAACAGGTATAATCTTTTAGATGTCATAATTTTACTGAACAAATGTTTAATTAAGGACATTGAGTATAGTTAAAAAATTCAGGGTAAGTAAATGAAAGTTTATCTTTTTCTTTTTATTTCTTCAACATTTATCTATCTATATATCTATATACCATATATTGTGTAAAAGGTCAATGCAATGTGTTTGTCTTGTAATTCGTGTTATGATTTGTTAAGATGTTTAATCGTATTGAACAGTGTGGTTTCGTTGTTTTGATGTCTAATATATATATATATATATATTTTTTTCCAGTGCAAGTTATGGGATGGATTTGTATATAGTTATTGTAAATTTGATTAGGCATATGTCTAAAATTAAAGCCAAAGGTTCCGTTTTTGATTTCATGTATTCCTCAATAATCTCATAAAGTTATATTGTATCATTTTAATATATTGTCTGAAACTTTAAAATTACAAAATCATCTCATATAATTGGATTTAATTTTTTTTTTACATAACCAGATGCAGTGGAAACTTGATTTTTCTTAATTAAAAACAATTAGATCTTGGTCACATTAATTTACAAGGTATATTTGATTTAGATATAATCTAGATTAATATTTTGGTACCATCCATCATCTTTTCCTTTGTCTTTTGCAACTTTGATAATTATGAACTTATGCTAAACAGCTTTCCGGTCAAAAAACAATTAATTATTTGTAATATTAAATTTGGAACATATTCACTCGAGTGACAATGCTAATATCTATATCAATGTTAAAATATAAAGTGTTCATTTCAATTGTTCACTTAGGATTATTATCCAGAATCTCAAATGGAAAATATAAAGCTTCAAGTCTTATAATTTTATGAAGGTTAAAAAATATATTAGTGCTATGTGTAAAATTAAACTATTTATTTCTATATAACCTTTTTGTTTGGGGTTAACTCTTCAGCTTATGTTCATTTAACATGGGACTGATGTGATTAGCTTGTTATTAGTTCTGCAAGTAAATAATATAATAAAAAATAATTGGTTGATGATGTTAAAAATATCAAATTTATGGACGAGTGTCAGCACAAGTGGGAAGTGTTACTACCACATTGTTTGTACTATACATAATCACACACAGTTATGATAACTCTACTAATTAATTATTACACTATGAATTAACGATATTTTTAATATATGTGATAATTAAGGGTCTGTTTAAGTTTTTCAAAAAGCTATTTGAAGTAGCTTTTTTAACTTTTGCAGTGAGTTTTACTCTTCCCTCTTTGCCTTTTGTCCATTTCTCTCTCCTTACTTTTCGCCTCTATGCTTCGTCTTCTTTTGTGATGGAAAGGACTCAAAATCATGGGGAGATATTAAAATAATTATTTTCTATTCTCCCACTTTTATCATTTTTGAGTGCATTTTATTAAATACACATTAAAATAATTATTTTGATGCATTTTATTTTAATATTTAAAAAACGGAGAATATTATAATACATGATATTAATTAATTATAAGCACAAAAATAATTGTGTTATATGAAAAAAAACTTTCATATATTTATATATTTAAAGGCCTTATCCCTAATTAAATCGATACATGTGGACCTCTTTATAATTTAATATTTTATAATTTATCAACTTATTTTAATTTTTAGAATTTAAGTTTAGTAATTTATTAATTTACTTTATTTTTTATAATTTATAAATAATAGTTGAGTGTATATAGACTCCTTTTGTAAAATTGTAATTTAAAGATTAATATTTTTTCTTAAAAAAAAAACATTCTTGTCTTTTTCAGTCATTATACATCTAAACTTGCTTTCGAATTTTATCATTCAAACAAGTTTTTGTTTGTTAAATTGACTTTTAAGAAAAATGTATCCTAACATAAATTAGTTAATGTCGCTCATTTTTACCCTAAGTTTAGCTATTTGCAAACCTCAATATATTCTAAGTTTCTAATTTTAATTTTACAATTTCTAATCCAAACACACCCTAATTATTATTATATATCACATCTCCTTGTTTAATTCTATATCTTATATCTTATTTATTTTCATTTTCCTTTATCAATTTGCAGGAGACATTCCAATAGAGATTGGCCTTCTTCAAAATCTAAAATTTCTATATTTGGGTGCTAATAAGCTTTCTGGCCACATACCATCAAATATCTTCAATATATCAGAGTTGCAAGAAATTGATTTAAGCTGGAATAATTTGTCAGGAAGTATTCACTCTAATATGTGTCATGGACTTCCAAATTTACAAATGCTACATCTTCAGGAGAATGAATTATCAGGAGCCCTGCCATCTAATTGGATACAATGCAAAGAGCTCAAAGACTTACAATTAGAATACAACTCTTTGATAGGTATGTGCTATCCCACTATCTCAAATCTTCAACTTTAATTTCTTTGCTAATATATTTTAATTGTATTTTAATGATTTTTTGATTGGTAAGACAATAAAAAATAGAAAAACTTTATTTTCATTTTAATTTAGGAAAATTTAATTCTCTAGTGCCTATATTTTATTTTTTTTAATCAAGCCATCATTGTTTGATCAATTAGGCATGTTAATCCTTGAGGTTAAAATTATTAATGAATGATTAATATTACAAAGCTTTTAAGTATAGAAGGGCAGAATTCCAATTAGGTCTCTTATACGGACATTTTCATTTAATTGCAAAGGACTTTAGTTACATCAAAAATCAATTTTATTTACTAAACTACAATTCTAATAAAGGAAGGTATTTTATTAAAAAAGGCGAGTAATTTAGTAATTTTTGTTTTATTTTAAATTTATAAAAATTTCTCGGGATTTAAATGAAAATTTTCTAATTTAAAATCTAAGTGAATTCAGGTATTGTTTTTCACTTAATCCAAAACTCGTTTATCTTTTCAGCTTTTATTTTTTTCTTATTTTCGATTTAGATTTATTACTCCATTGTAATTCAAAAAATTTAATACTTTAAATTTCAAATATAATATTTTTGAATAATAGTTTAAAAATAATATATATTTAAATAGTTAAGTGTAGATGGTTTTCATTCAGGATTGAAACTATTTTTATAAGTTTTTAAAATTAATTTTAAAATTTAAAACATTTATAAATTTGGATTTTTATTTAAATTTATTTTAAAATTTAAATAAAAATATATTTTACTGTTTCGATTTGGTAAAACTTATGATATATTATTAGGATAAAACACAAAAAAAATCCATAAACTTTGACAAAATTGTAGATGATCCTTCTCACCTTTAAACTTTTAAAGCTAATCCCCCAACTTTTAATCTTGCTTTTCAAAACCCTTACCATTAATTAACTATATTATGTTATTAATGGAATTTGTCATGTCAGATTAATGCAATACACAAAACATGCAAAAAAAAAAAAATTATTATTTTTAAGAAAATTTAAGGAGGGCCAAAACTATAAGTTTTACTTTTAACACAGGTGAATATCTAAAATAAAAAATATATAAAAGCTATTATTGATTGACAAAGAATATCTAAATTATAGTTTAATATAAAAGGCTGTTTGTTTAAATTGATGAAGAATAATTAAATTATAACTTTTCTCTTAAATTGTGTTCATCGTGAACAATAAGAATAATGTCTCTCAACTAGAAAAAATTAGAGCATTGTCATGTGTGTCAAAAGTTAAAAAAAAAAAACAATTTTAATACTACATAACAGAGTTAAAAATAATAAAAGTGATTTATCATATATGGACACTCGCATCATTAAGCCATTTTTCTTGTATCTTTATCATATATTGGTACTACAATTTTTCTCCCTAGTTATTTTCTCATATTACTATGAACTATAATGCATTTTCTCTTCCCATTATTCCTTTTGCTCTTAAATTTTTGTTTGCATAAATTTTTCTTTTCCAACATTTCTTTATGCATAAAGATAAGTCTTTAATATAGGTTGGCCAAAAGAAGTCTTTAGTTATTTTTAAATTTATTGATACATATTAGGACGTCTTGTTATCTAATCTAATAAAAAAAGCAATGCATTTCCGGTCAAAATATAATTAATTAATATATTAAAGTGGATTTACATTTACTGAGTGATAGTATTAATATAGACATCAGTTTAAAAATATGACGTCCCTATCTCACCTTTTCCCTTTAAATTGTAAACTAGAAATAAAAAATGGAAATTACAAAACTGCAGTTCTCATAGTTTTACCAAAATTTAATTTTAATATGACATTAAAAGCTATCATTATATATTGCCATTGTGCATAAATTTTTTTTCTATAAAATCATTTTTTTGTGAGATTGATTATTTAGTTCACGTTCATTATATAAATAGTAGGACTTAAAACAATGTTCCCATACAAAAACTTGGAGCATTATATTAGTTTAATCCCCGTGAATGCTTGAGATATCTCAACAATCCTTTTTTCCCTCAATTGTTTTTCATGGGATATCCAAAATAATTTAAAACCCAACTGAAGTTCCCCACATGTGCTTGTGTGTGATGAATGTATATAAGAATTACATTTGATAACTACTCTTAGAAGCCATAAGTTTTGAAGGATGATTCCTTGAAAATAAAATGTTAATCATTTCAGCGATGATGCACAAAAGAAAAATTGATAATCAAAATTGAGAGAAATGTTATTAGATAATTGATGGTATATAATAATGTAAAGCTTATAAATACCTTATTGGTGGGCAATTTGTAAATGGATCTATAAGTGATTTTTGAGCTTGGAGGCTTGTCCTGGCCCTAGTGAGTCCCCCAAACCCAACTCACATAAACTTTCTGAAGGCAAATATAAAACTTATACATACAAATATGTAAAAATAAAACATTAACAACATATTAAATTGGGAAAATAACAATAAAATCCCGCTGAAATAATAAATGACAATCAAATTCCTCAAAATGTTATAATTCTTCCAAAGTCTCTGGGTACCTTTCTGACACTAATGATTGAAGGTTAAATAAATAATTTGCCACTTGTTTAAAATAAAAATAACAGATTTGGCTCTATCTTTTTAATCACAACTTCTGTATAGCTATGAAAAATTTAATAACTCCATATGATATAAATTTTGGTGGTAATGAAATCTATTTAGCTATTTAAAAAGTAAAAGAAAAAATAATTTTTTATGGGTAAGTCAGTTGCATATACCCAAAAACACTTTTTTTTGTGTTAATGATTTTTTTTTTTTTTGAAGATTTGTCTTTCCAACTTCGTGCCCTCCTCCACGGGCATTCAAATTATTAAAGTTAGCGCTTTTTGCGCATTGATGAAAACAGCTTTGCAAAGGTTTGCTTCCTTGTTCAAATGAATTTCCCCTGAGAAAATTAATTTTTGGTAATTCTGTAACTGTTATTTTTCAATGGCATATTGATCATAATAAAATTTTTTAATTTGGTTAAGACAAAATAATGCAATGTTCTTTGTAATCCTCTTTTAGCTAGCTAGACAATTTGTTACTTTAGAGAATTTATAGAATTTCTTTTGTAGTTACATTAAAACCATGTAAAATTGTTCAAAAATTATTGCACAATATGTTTCTTATAATTTGCGTGTTGTTAGGTTTGGTAAAAATGATTCACCATCTTTCTTGTTTGTTTATAACATGCGTGGAAAATATTCTCAATAGATATACCTGTGACCAATTCAAATTCTATATCTTTAAGCATTAACTTCTTCTCCTTGTTTTTTTTTTTTTTTGGTAGGTGATATACCAGAAGGTATTGGAGAACTGGATATGCTTCAAGAGCTATATCTTAATCATAATAATTTACAAGGTAATTTTTTCATCAACTTATAATATTATGGCTACTGTAGTTTTCTTTCTTTCTTTAGTTGTTTTCTCAGTATTACAATGAACAACCATGCATCTTCTTTTCCTACTTTTCCTTTTTTAAAATAAATTTGTGTATGGGTGAAATTTTCTTTCCTAACAATTCTTTAAACATGAAAATAAGTCTTTATTAGTTTCGGTCGGTGAAAAATAAATTTGGAAATGCTGGTTAGGATATCTGGTGGAGCATTTTGTTTGTTTTGAAGAGACGAAGCTCCACTTGGAGCGAGGAAAAAGGATTTGCAATAAAAATTTGTCCTCTAATCTAATTAAAAAAATGCATTTCTGGTCAAAATACAGTTCATTAATATATTAGAGTTTATATACATTTATTGAGTTATAATATTAATATAAACATCAATATTCAAATATGACGTCTCCATCTCACTTGTTCCCTTTAAATTGTAAACTAGAAATAAAAAAAATGGAAATACAGAACTGCAGTTCTAATAGTTTTACCAATTTGAATTTAATACGACATTAACTGCTGTCATTTTATATTGTCATTGTGCATAAAATTTTGTTTCTATAAAATCATTTTGTATGAGATTAATTAGTTAGTTCACTTTCATTATATATATATATATATAGTAGGTGTTAAAGAGATGTTCCCTTACAAAAACTTGGCGGATTAGTTTATTGTTGTGACATTTTATTAGTAGCTAGAGGACCGTGATACACGCAAATGCGTGAGATATCTCTACAATCCTTTTTACCCACAGTTGTTTTTTATGGGATTTCCAAAATGATTAAAAACCCAACAAAAGTTCCCCACATGTGTATTAATGTGTGCTTATGTGTGATGAATGTATATATGGAATTACATTTGATAACATCTCTTAGAAGCCCTGAGTTCTGAAGGAATATTCCTTGAATTTTATTTTACGAGACAAAAAAAGTACTACCTCTGTCCCAATTTATGAGACATTTTTATACAAGATCTTACCTATCAAACAAGTTCATTAAATATATTTTACAACCTTAATCTTTTAGGACAAAAATATAAACTTTTAAAAATATCATTCATTTAATACTCTATTTGTTAAAGAATATTAACGAAAGAGAATATATAGGAACGATAATATTGAAAAAGGACCAGTAATGGAACCTTTTTTTTTTGGTCAAAGTATATTATATTTTGGAACACTGAATCTTTTCAAAAAATGTCTTATAAATTGGGATAGAATGAATACTTGAATTAAGTAGTTTTTGTAGGGAGTTGCAATTTACTCTTCCCTCTTTATCCCTTTGTCTATTCCCCTCTTCTTAGTTTTAATCTCTCTGCTTCGTCTTCTTTTGCTGTGACTGGAAGGAGTCAATATCATGGGAAGATTTTAAAATAATATTTTTGATTATTATTTTTTTAGTGCCTTTTGTTCAAAAATATTAAAATAATTATTTTGACATTTATTTTAATATTTATGAAAGGAAAATATTTTAATTGATGATAATAATTAATTCTATGCATGCAAATTAGTTAACATCATTAATTTTTATCCTAACTTCTGTTACTCAATTTATTCTAACTTCAATTTTGCAATTTCTAGTCCAAACACAACCTAAAGTCAATCTTATCAAATACTATTTTGATTGCAAACTTGAGAAATTGAGTCATGACAAGTTAAACTTAAGGGATTGGGTCATAACCAAGGTAAAAGTTGAAGGACCAAATAACTAATTTTCCCAATAAAAAAAATTAGATCATGGAAATTTAGAAATTATGATCTTATATACTAAAAATGATGATGTCATATGAGTTTTGTCTTGGAATGAGCTTCATGTTATGATCTCTCCCACTCCCACCTTTTTGTTAAACACCTAGTTATCTCTCTCTTTCTAAAAATTCGCACTCCAAAATCAATTTTTTAGTTTAGCAAACTACCAGGTCTTATAGTCACACAGTACACACTCACTTATAAAATAAACTACTGAGCAACTTACTTTTGATACCATATGTTAGGTCATTGTCGAATATTTAGCTATTGGACTGGGACTGACCCATAAACCCAAGGAGGATTATTTCCCAAAAAACTACTTTTTTTTGTTCTAGAATCATTCCTTTAATTGAAAAGGATAATATTGGGATCTTTTTATTTTTTAAAAAGTAACAAAGTAATAGTATTTTCTTAAAATATATGAAGATGTTGGAAATATCTTTAAGAATAGGTGGGAGTATGTTTTATATTATTACATTAAAGTCTATCAGTATAAATTTAGAGGTTTGAGTGAAATTTTTGTCAAATTATTTTACTAGTGGTGGTTAAAACACACATGTTACAAGTATCTTTTCACTCTAGGTAGCCAGCCTTACGGGAGAAAATCTAAGAAAGGTCATTATATAATGATGATGTGGAATTTATTCTGAGTACAAATTTAGGGAAAGTGAAAATTTTCAATTACTTTCTGTAATGTCATTTTATTATACATCCACATTTGTATAGCAATGTGTGATTTTTCAATAGAATTAGACACTTTGTGCTTTAACTCATGCATGTGTCCCCTATGATATAAATGTCCATCTTCTTTCAGGCCATTTACCAAAAGACATCGGAAACTTGACCAAGCTTCAATTGTTGTATCTTAATTACAATAACTTGGAAGGTATGGTATATCCAACAAATCATAGCATTGTTATATATGTTTGTTTTTATCTGCATCTAAATTACAAGAAATATCCCTAATAAGCATCTTTCTTGTGTCTTTATCACAAACGTGGGAAACCATATGTTAGGTAATTGTACAATTTTAGTTATTGGACTGGGACTGACCCATAAGCCCAACGACGATTATTTCCCAAAAAATTACATTTTTGGTTCTAGATTCATTCCTTTAATTAAAAAGGATAATATTGGGATCATTTTGTTTTTAACAAAGTAACAATGTAATAGTATTTTCTCAAAATATATGAAGATATAGGAAATATCTTTAAGAATAGGTGGGAGTATGTTTTATATTATTACATTAAAGGCTATCACTATAAATTTAGTGGTTTGAGTGAAAATTTTTCAAGTTATTTTAACTAGTGGTAGTTAAAACATACATGTTACAAGTATCTTTTCACTCCAGATAGCCAGCCTTACGAGAGATAATCTAAGAAAGGTCATTTATATGATGATGATGTGGAATGCGTTATGAGTACAAGTTTAGGGCAAGTGAAAATTTTCAATTACTTTCTATAATTGCATTTTATTATTCATCCATATTTGTATGGAAATGTTTGATTTTTCAATAGAATTAGACAATTGTGCTTTAACTCATGCATGTGTCCCCTATGACTATAGATGTCCATCTTCTTTCAGGCCATATACCAAAAGACATCGGAAACTTGGCCGAGCTTCAATTGTTATATCTTAGTGACAATAACTTGAAAGGTATGGTATATCCAACAAATCATAGCATTGTTATGTTTGTTTTATCTGCATCGAAATTGCAAGAAATATCCCTAATAAGCCATATTTCTTGTGTCTTTATCACATACGTGGGAAATATTCTCAATAGATAAATGTGACCAATTTGAATTCTATATCTTTAAGCGTTATTTTTTTTTTTGTAGGTGATATACCAGAAGGTATTGGAAAATTGGATATGCTTCAAGAGCTATGTCTTGATCATAATAATTTACAAGGTAATTTTTGTCGTCAAGTATGATATTCTGGCTACTTTAGCTTTTTTCTCTCTTTTTAGTTGTTTTCTCAACACTACCATGAACAACAAAATGCATTTTATTTTCCTATTTTTTTTTGTTTATAAATTTGTGTATTAGTGAAGTTTTCTTTTCTAAAATTCTTTAAAAATAAAAACAAGTATTTAGTTCTTGGCCAAAAAAAATTTCTTTTCCAATAATTTTGGAAATGCTGGTTAGGATGTCTTGTGGAGCATTTTGCTTGTTGGGAACAGATGAAGCTCCATTTAGAGTGACGAAAATGGATTTGCCTTTATGGATCTCCACATTAATCCAAAAATTAATATTTTAAAGTGCATGTGGAATATTTTTGGAAAATAGTTTAAAAATAATGCATATTTAAATAGTTGTTTTGGGCCAATACATATTTAAATAGTTAAGTATACATGATTTTCAATTAGGACATGATATTATTTTTAACAGTGCTTAAATTAATTTTAAAATCTTTATAATTAGAATTTTTATTTTTAAAATTAATTTCAAAATTAAATACAAATAAGTTTAATTAAGCATAGGGTAATATGCTTTAAAAAATTTATGAATTGTTGGAGCTTTATATAAATTTTATAAGAGTAAATTAGAATGGTCTCTATAATTTTAGAATTTAAATCTGAAAATTTTTAACTCTATAAAGAAAGGTGCAATTCAAATCATCAGGATTGGAATTTT